GTCTGGCAAAGCGTCATAGACAAATCATTTCCAGAGGGGCGTCACCAACGGACGCCGCGGATAGACCTAAACCCAATCAGAGCGATGAAGGAGATGACGCATGCAGAGCGGCGGAGACACATCTCCGAGTGTTGTTCTTTGCTCGGTTTTTAACTAAAAGGAAACGTTCAAATCGCTTAAAACAGACGCGATAGCTGATTGGAACGAGTAATGTTCGACGGCGGCATCCATCTTTGTAATGTAGGCTACAAAATCTGCTTCAAAATCCCAGCGCTGTCGTCATCGTGTAAAGCCCGCCCCAACGCTTCTGATTGGTGCCGTGATTTCGGCGGATTGGAAATGGGCTTGAATGAGCTCTTTGCCAGACTAACTTTCACAGCAAATCTAAATTTGCCGGAAGTTGTCTGGGTTTTCCCAGGCTAACGAGGGCGAGTAATAATTTCCGAATTATCATTTTTGGGTGAACTATCACTTTAAGAACAGTGGACGTGTGGATGATGTAGAACCATGCGACTGATATTCAACTTAGAAATCAATAGAAATATTATATATAGAAATTATATTTTGAATAGAATAAAATTAAATGACAAATATAACAATGTTTTGGGATTTTTCGGGAAGCAAATGCAAAGTTTAAAGAAAATGACTGATCCCATAATGACTAAGGCTCAATCCCAATTCAATGGCCCGTTCACGTCAAGGGGTAGGGTGTCCCGATTCTCGTTTAGATCGAGGGGTAGGGCTACATAGCCCTCGAAACAGAGATTTTTCAGAGGCACACTCCAAACGGAGGGCTACGAGAAAGTTCGCAGAATACATCGCGAATCACCGGCGAGATTGCTTCACAAACGGTTAAACATTTAAATTTAGCGCCAGATGACACCACCGTGCACTTTATTTACTCTTATAATAATGATATAGTCATTTAAATTAAGAAATTGTATAATAAATTACCTTTCCGAAACAGAAAAGACATACATTTCGAGGAAGGAACGTTATAACATGAAGGGTTTTTCCATTTCGTAGGGGAATATTTCAACCCCTTGGCCCTTGTAACTCTGTTTTAAGGGCCAAGGGGTACACTCGAAAACAAGGGGTAGGGCCAAGGGGTGAATTGGGATTGAGCTTAAATAGTATTTAGAATATATTAGGCAGGATGCATCCTCCAATAACTATTTCCATTCAAAGTTGTGAATTTATCTTGAAATATGACAATAAATCAGCGTTTCCATCTCATGGTTTCTAGAGAACAAACCCGTCACTTCCTGGGAAATTTACGCAAGTAATAAAAATGGAAGTTGCTGCAATCGGGGAAGAAACTGTGGCTCTTCTTTCGTACAATAAACGAGTTTCGCCTAAAAGCGTCAGACGAAACGCAATAAACGCTGTCATGTGATCTTGCGTTCGGACGCTGGTGTTTGGGAACGCTATCGTGTGAGACGGTTTACACAATCATTCTGATGACAGACTTCGGCTCAAGCGTTTCAGATCCACCAAACCAACATTTGAGATGCTGCGATGCCATTGGTCCGCTGGTTAGTCCAGTTATCCAATCACAGCCTCTGGTGAGGCAAAGTCATGTGATTTTTGTATTGCATTGAGGGATTTATTCGGTAAACGTGTTTCCATCGTAGTTCATGCACATGTTTTCTTATCGGATAAAAAAATATCTGCCTCATTTGATTGCATACGCATTTATAGAATTTCTTGGCTGTTTCCATCCTGCAGTTTTTAATGAGATATTCCAAAATTTGCATTAAAAAAATAGGTGGATGGGTTGAAACACAGCTAATGTCGGTAGCACTTTATTATACAGTTTTGTTCGTCATGTCCATACTATGTACTTATAGTAATTGTAATAACTAGGTACTAACCCTGAACCTACCTCTAAACACATAACCTCATATATTCAATGTCTGCTGTGTATTTGACGTCACAATTCAGAAGAGTCACATATGAATCATTCACAACAAGACAAGGAACATAGGTAGAGTGAATAAATAATGATATCATGTTGACTTTCAATCACCCGGTTCAATCAGAGTTGTGTGTTTCAGTGGAACGGGCTGCTGAACGGGAGAAAAGGCTTCCTGAAATCTCTTGCAGAATGAACACAACTATGTTTGACAGGCCTGTAATGAAAGCAACAGCTGTGGTGTGTGTGTGGTGGGTGGTGTGTGTGTGTGTGTGTGGGCAGACTACACAATGGCAGTAAAAACTCAACCTATTCCTGACCACTGGCTCCACGTCAAACATGAGGAAAAGACGCAAGCAAAGCTCTGGTACGTCTCTGCTAACAGAACATAGGACTCTCTTCTCTCTCCGTGTTCCTATCAAACGCCCAGCATTCATGCAGATACAGGTGTGAATGCAGAATTAAATACACGGCAGGCTATACTCAAATAGATTGCTTAAAAATCACTCAGTAGTCTTCAAAACAAGCGGAACAAACAAAACAAGAACATTATCAAGTTAATAAAATCGCAGTGTGTGTTCCTGTGAAACTGTTTATCTAAAGTCAACATGAAATCAAAACAGAGGCTTTGTCCTACAGTGTGAATGATTCAACAGCGCATGTTATTCCAAGGCAACAAAAGTTTGTCTTTCCACCTCTGAAAAGACCTTCTGTTTTATCCGATACCATTAAGGCTATTATCTTTATTTATATGTCAAATACAGACACTTTTCACCATCCAATCAATTGCACATAGATAAAATCAAGTGCCGCCCTGCATTATTTTCTAACAAATATCCATTGTGGATGTAAACTGTGAACTGTGTTTCATGTTGATTTTATCTCTTACAGCTGCTGGTAGACAAGAAAACAACACTTTTCCAGGAACAAATGTCTGGCAACTGCCTAGAAATCCTTTAGAACGACTACACAGCTTTCAATCTTGTCTTTTCTAATGACATTAGGCCTAAAACTCCTTCAGGCTTCAAGACTTTTTCGTTCACATTGCGTTTTACAATTTGGTAGATGCTGAACAAAACTACAGACAGACACTTCAATCCGGAGCGACTTCTAGTGCGTTCATGGTTTATATTTTAACAGCACGTGTCAAGAAATAAAAGGACATCAGTGAATTATTTTTCATTCATTATTAAATGAAATGTTCTTGACGTCCACTCATTCTTCATTCTCACTGTTTCCCACTTTAAAATAATAGTAAAGAGATGTCAACTCTGAAGCAGCACACATATGATGTAGTGTCACGAATGAAAACTGGTGTATTTGAGCCGTCTTCTTCTTTCTTTATGAGGTGATTTTAAACACTATTGAGGAGGAACGTTTGATGAGCACTTCATGATGCTTCTGCTCTGACATAATATCTAGAACATATATTAGGGGTTCTAGCACTATTGTAATTGTTAGAATTACCAAGGATCAGCATTCTCCCCTAAAAGTGACTGCGAAGTCCAAACTGTAAGTCGTAGATACTTGAAACTTTGAGGGATTGTAGTACCAAAGTCTCATTAAACAAGTAATTTCACTCGGCGGCCATCTTTAAAGCTCCTCGTCTTTGAAACGCATCTATTTGAATGGGGAAACATCAAATTCATGCAGTGACTCGATGACTTTACCAATCGGCGACTGGCTCTCACTTGAAAGGCGGGACTTATTCCGCCATATTGCGCTTTTCCCCATTCAAAGCAATACGAGTGACGAGTCTTGTGTTATTCTATAGTCTTTGGTAGTACCCGCACTGTCTCCAACGTCACCAAGGCTTGCCCCAATCGGCCTGACGGGGGCGCTACAGCGATCAAAAGTACGTAATGGCTCATAAATACAAAAAAAAAAAAAAAAAATTAAACCTACTTTTGCGAACTAGTCCGAGATTTTTCGCCCCATCGGAAGCAAACTAGTGCAGAAAGATTCTCTGGAGTCTGATTGTCATAATTATCAAATAAAAGTCGAAATTTCTATTGACGTCCATGATGGTACGTCAAAATGTTCGAAGTGGCCATGGCCACTTTTACAAAAACATCCATCTTGAACAAAATGAGATCATTTCTCCAAACTAGGTACACCTATGCATGGGCTCGGTCTGTGGTCGCGTGAAAAAGGACACGGCGTCTGCTCACTTGGTGGAGCTGTAAAATAAAAAATAAAAAAACAGGAAAACGGCTAGAGCTAGCTATGCAACAGTCAGTCCGATTGACTTGAAAACTGGCATGCGGTGTCTTTGTCCAAGGTGCCGCGATTATCTATGAGGACATCTTGAAAAACATGTCCGCTGTTGGCCAATGAAGGTTGAGCGGCTGTCAGACAAGATCAACGGAGGCTGATGGGAACGAAATGTGAGACATTTGAAAGACATCGCCCACCTTAACGTTTTTCACATGCATAAAGGGTTGTATATCATGGGATTTTTCGCACAAGCCCACAACATTCATACCATATGGTAGAACCCTAGGATCACCTCTGTCAATCGAGCCGTTCGTTAAATATTGGAAATTATTCATTTAAAAACCTACTTTCGCAAAAATAGTCCAAAGTTTTTGGCTCAACCTCGATAACTATTAAAAAGCTTTCAATCTACTATATTTCCTTAGTAAGTTGCCTGTATTGGCTGTAAATTATGTTTTCCATTTATGATCCAAGTGGCTACATGCTTGCTAAATAAATACATTTTACAAATGTGCTTAAAGGCCTTAAAGTGCTTGAACCGCGATAATTGCTGCTAGCAGCTATATATACAATAATTGTATTTTTATTGTGTGAAGTAACTGATGTACGTTGACTGTCACCAGACCGTTAACATTTGAACCATAAGGGCGCGAACCGACTGCTGGGCTTTAACTAAAAATAACTCAAACACGTAAAAAAAATGACCCAACCCAATATGTGGTTGGGATGATTAAAAAAACACACCATTGTTTTTTAACCAGTTTGTCTGCAAATGTGTTTGTCTTCAAATAACAAGGGTTTTCAGATCCTGAGTGAGTGATCGGTGAAGGCTGGCCAAACTTTTGACCCAGAAACAGGTGTCATTTACCTTCTTTTTCCCCTTGCAGTGGCAGCACACCCTCCACAGGTACTTGAGAGTCCTCCACAGCAGGATGATGAAGAGACCCCCAAAGAAAGTGACCATGGAGGAGGCGAGGAAAGCCCACCACATCCTCTGGCCGTTCACAGGGTCACACGGCACGTCGGAGGTGTACGGGATGATCACATCCATCTTCCGAACCGAGGACGGACCCGCTTTTGAATGCTCGATTGGATAGGTCATTACTGTGGAGAGCTGCTTCTCATCACCGTCGTTATCTTCATCTTCTTCAGTGGGGAGCATCGAGCGTCTCTCTGTTGATTTCAGCGCCCCACACCTGATGATCAGCCATGTTGGTCAGGGCGGACACCCCGCGAGTGTGTGCCCGTGTGCGCGCACTCTCCTCCCGCTACGCTCTCCGCTCTCGCCCGCTCTTCGGTTCTCCACGCAACCACTAACGCGCAGTTGAAAAGTCGTCCTCAAAACGCACTACTCCTAGAAAAGCGTCGGTGGGTCTTTAAACGAGGTCGTGCTGGGGATATTTATCATAAAAAAAAAAAAAAAAAAAAACATTCCCACGATTTAAAGCCTGCGTGACCGTCCGCGAGCTGATCTCCCGTGCGCTCGCTGGTGATGGACAGACTGCGGTCTAATCACCTCGCGCTCATTCGGTAACGTGTTGCGTTCAGCTCCGGTCTATTCATCCGGCGAGTTCAGGGCAGATTTACAGGTACCGGAGGGCGGAGTCAGTCGGTCTGATGCCCGTCAAAACGTCTCCAAAACCCAGCGAATAGTCCAAACATCCATCAGTCGCTCCTATTTTACAGACATCTGTCGAGCTTCAAAAAAACATCATCTATTGTCGTGGGCGAATTATGAGAGGGGGTGGGGGCTTAGATACTGGTAAAATATTCAAAATATTCAGTCACCATAAAAAAGTACGATTTCAAGTTAGTCAGAGCGCTAAATTGGCACGAGCGAAGCGCTTTAGCCCGAGAACGTAACCATGGCAACAGAGTTATGACGAAAATCGAGTGGTGTATCGAAAGAAAAAACATATGTCTTTATCAACTTATTGTTGACGTACACAACACAAATGTATTGGCAAAATATTGCGCTTTGTTTAAAATGCCTCTAACATACTTAAATAAACATTTGTGTGTTGCTCGAGACCAACAGGATTACTGACAGAAAAAGTAGCGCAAAAGTTATTGAATAATGTTAAATTGATAAAGTGATAGTAAAATATATTGATAGAAAAGATTTCTATTTTGAATAAATGCTGTTCTTTTTAACTTTTCATTTATCAATAAATCCTGGGGGGACAAAACAGGGTCCGAAATAATATTACACAACACAACGTTTCCAACATTGATAATAAATCATCATATTTTACTGATTTCTGAAGGATCATGTGACACTGAAGACTGGAGTAATGGTGCTTTGATCACAGGAATAAATTACATTTTACTATATTCACATAGAAGAAAACAGCTCATTTTAAATTGTAATAATATTGCAATTAATATTTTGATCAAATAAATAGTAATGATGCTGAAAATTCAGCTTTGATCACAGGAATAAATTACACTTTACTACAGTAAAAAAAAAAAAAGTTCATCAAAGTTGTCCTAAGACAAGAACGGGTTATGTTGTAATTCATGTATAACTATGATGAACGGTTTTGATCCACTTCAAATGTTGACTACTGTAATATTTACATAGAAAACAGCTTTTTTTAAATAGTAAAAATATTTCACAATATTATCGTTTTTACTGTATTTTTGATCAAATAAATCCAGGCTTCAGCAGAAGAGACTTCTTTTAAAAACATTAAAATAGTAATGTTTCCAAACTTTTGACCGGTACTATACACACACACTTTTAAAATCACCATACTTTTCTTTCTTTTTTATATTGAAATATATGTATATCTACGCCTTCCAAATTAAGAGCATTAACAAGTTTGATAATTTACTACATGGTGTTTATTTATAAAGAAGGCTGCAATTTCTACAAATATTCATGTGTCAATCAATAATCAGTTGTTTTTCATTGTTAAAGTCATTCATATTGCACCCGCCATAATTCCCAGCAAACACAGAACGTTCCTCTAACGTTCTCATATGGTTCCCTTTTTCTTTTCTTTGTTGTTGTTGAATCGAATGTTCCCAGAATGCCAAACATGGGCTGTTTCACACCCTGGTAACCACAGTATGGTACTTTTGAGGATAGTATGGTTACCATAGTAAAGCTTTCGCATTTATGCCTGTGTTTTACACCTCATCATGAATACTGAGTTATTGAGTATTTTTTTTAACATATATCTAAATGTATTAATATTCAGATTTGATTCCAAATATGCCCGTCATTGAAGAGTTTCTCCATCTGAATCCACACACTTCTAGGGAAGTAAAGCAAAATCAGGAATCTGTTGAAAAGACAAATATTCCACACAAAGATGCAAATATATTTACAAAAGCTCACTTAAAAAAAAAAAAAATTACTAAAAATAAAAGTGAATCAATAAACGTTTGTTTTAGCCACATTTGAATCGACATGAGCTCTATTTTCATCCTTTTGCTCGAAAACAAATAATCTTCATTCTGCCATCTGATATTTTCGTCATCCAGAAATAATATTTCATCTGATATTTGATGTTTATATAACCCTCATTATGATGATCACACTGAAGTAGGATATGACGCCATCTGGTGACTCCTCACAGGAACTTCAAACCATATTATCCCCATTTGCACCATGAAAACATCACAGATTGTAGAATTTTATAGAATTTAAAATGCCAGGTTTTCCATGATGTCCTCATGAACTGAGAAAACAGACTCAGATGGGGGGAAAAAAGACAAAGTTACTCTGCTAAAAGAAGAAAATACGTTTAAACAACCGTGCTTAATTTAGACTTTATTAATATAACAATTACAAAATCATGTTTTTGTCATAGGATTCTGTACCAATGTGTTATACAATTATAAAACATAATGGAAAACTATTTTAAATGGAATTATGTGGGGTTTTTTCCAGCTACAAACACAGACACCAGAGTTATGATGAACATGACGTTGAAGCAGCTAAACCAGGCGACTCGTTTCATTGGTCATCGGGGTCAGAAAGGAAGTGATGTCACTGTGGCTAAGGTAAACAGGAAGACTCGTGTAGTACCAAAGCTCTCCTGCCACTGAGTTTCACTACAGAGAGGATTAACTAACGACTCCTGAACGAGGATTACTCAATCTCCCGTCTCGTCTGGGATTAATAAAGTAGGTTTGTCCACCTTTCCATTGAACTCAAGTGCAAAATAGAAGAAACCCTTTGGCACGTCTGTTTCTGAAGAGGAGGGGAGCTTTACGATACGAGCACTACTAAGCATTCAGCCAACAAAACACATTTAAATTAGAGTTAAAAAACGAACTGGACAGTAAAAATAATCAGAGCATATAGTAAAATGATCATGCAGCAGATTATTGCATCGCTCATTTAAATAATAAAAAAGTACACTTAAAAGAAAATGAAATAAAGAAACTGCTACATTGGCGTTTAAAGGAATGGTTCACCCCAAAAAAACGAAAAATATTCGCCTGTCGATTCAAACCCGGAGTTGCAGAAAGTTCCCGCTGCTCTTTTCCATGCAGTGAAAGCGAATGCTGTCAAACATCACAAACAATCACAACAAAAAACCCACTTTATCCTGATTCTTCACAGCTTTGAGTGAAAAAAACCCTCTCAGCTTTTAAAACGCATTATTTTATGGTGCTTCTGCATTGGTTTGAGGTTTTCCAGCCCGGGCACTGCAAAAAATGCTTTTCTTACTTAGTATTTGTGTCTTGTTTCCAGTCCAAATATCAAAAAATTCTTAAATCAAGATGCATTAAGATTTTAAGTCTTGTTTTCTGGGGAAATTAATCAAAATAAAGTGAGTTTTTGCTCACTTAAGCAAAATTATCTGCCAATGGGGTCAGAAAAATAATAGTCTAGATGGGATGTACCCAAAAAGTGAAAGTGAGGAGCATTTGTGGGTACAAGTCGGGAACCGGCCTACTTTACATATTTCAAGGGTGCTGAATCCAAAAAAACTGGTACCCAAGCGAAATTGTGAGTTTTTGACCTTCTAATTTGCATATCAAAATGGCCGCCAAATTGCCTATCTTGCTCAGTCGTTGGACCATTTTCCACTAGTTTTGTTGTAAGTAGGCAATCAAGATGAGGAAATTAAGTTTCTAGATCGATAGTCAAGGGTCAGAGCAAAGATATAATGGAGGATCACTGTCTTTTTTATGTATATATGCAAAATACCAACTTTTAAGGTGAAATTAGGCATTATTTGTGTCATTTTTTAAGGCCGACATAAATATTCAATCAATATCACTCTTAAATGTTCCCAGTGTATATATGATATGTGATGTATTCCATATTACATAATAACTAAGAAAAACACCATTGCAAGTTGTCTGAGATTTCATTTTTTTATGCAAACAAAGCATTCCCTAGACTGTACATTTCCTGAAGAAAATGTGAAGTGGTGCTTGCAGTGGCAAAATTGCATACGAGCCAACAAACATGTCTGTACGATGTTCTGGTGCTGAGATATGGCTTATTCATGTTGTTCAGGTGGTTGCTAGGGTGTTCTGGGTGGTTGCTATGGTGTTTCTAGGCGGTTTCTAGGGTATTCTGGGTGGTTGCTAGGGCGTTACTAGGCAGTTGCTAGGGTGTTCTAGGTGGTTGCTATGGTGTTGATAGGCAGTTGCTAGGGTATTCTGGGTGGTTGCTAGGGTATTCTGGGTGGTTGCTAGCATGTTGCTAGGGTGTTCTGGGTGGTTGATATGGTGTTCCCAGGGTGTTCTGGGTGGTTGCTAAGGTGTTGCTAGGCGGTTGCTAAGGCATTCTGGGTGGTTGCTAGGGTGTTATGGGTGGTTGCTAGGGTGTTATGGGTGGTTGCTATGGTGTTACCAGGTGGTTGGTAGTTGTCACAGATGGTTACTATGGAGTTTTTATAGAGTTCTTAGCATGTTCTAGGCATGATTTAGCACTTACCTAATCACTAATAGCATGTAGCTATTCACAGCTAGCATGTGTAGCATGTTGGAAGTCCTCTTTGCTAGCATGAGTCAAAAGAGCCAACCCCCATTTCTCTATGATGTTCTGATGCAGAGATATACACTCACCTAAAGGATTATTAGGAACACCTGTTCAATTGACCTCTCGCCGGCCCCTCCCCCAAAACGGCCATTGTCCAATCACACATCATAGCAACCGTTACTATGTTAGCAGGTCCGTCAAACATTGACTCCAAGCAAGATGGTGAAGCGGTGCGCCCACAGCGTTTGTAAATCGGACACTAGGTACTCCGAGAGATTGTCTGGAGGAGTTGTGTTCTTTCCGTTTCCAAAGCCGACAATAGATAAAACAGTGTGGACGGCCCCACTCCCAGTTAAATGTGTCGAACATGGTTAACTCGCGTGCAGTTTGTGTGAGACTGAGACACTGAGATTAGTCAAAGAAACATGGAGAAAGCAGATCAAGAGGATCCACGAAGGAATTACGTTTTCTAAAGGGTTGTTGTTAACATGATATTTTCGGGGGGAAATGAGCAGCAGTCAACTAGCAGTGCAGCACCTGTAGACTACAGTTTAGAGGAGAGCAAGTTTGCAACGGGGAAAGCATGAAGCTTACTTGACAACATCAGTTCATATATCAATATCGCAACAAATAGAAATAACCTTAAATAATGTATGGTTATCTGCATCTTTCCGTCTCTTATGTATAACGTTAGTTACTTTTTAAACACAAAAATCACATTCAGCATGACACGCAAGTGGTTGTCGTGGTAATGAACAACCTGCTTGTTAAAGCGAATGTATAATCCT